AATAAGTTGATGAGAGTTGCGGTCATTGAAACAAGGATGTGATGGGTGGCATTTTAGACATGAGGAGATCCTGGTCGCAAATGATCTCCATTCCAACGATATCTTGATTTTTTATGAAGACTTGAGTCGTTACCTTGTGGGCTAACTTCTCGCAAATCGCAAAAGTTGACTGAATAACACTGAAAGAATATTTCATTCGTAGCTTCTGGGAGTACACGGCGGATAGGTGGTGAGTATAGGTCTTCCATCTTACTTGATGACCCTCGAACGCAAGTACATCGAGTGTACCTGCGCCATCACAATCTGGCGGCTAGTATTATCAGCACCACAAATAACAGTGAACAACTTCCGATACGTTTAGGTATTCGTAGATCTGGTTACGATTAATATACATAATGTCGGTTATTGTCGAATGTCGTATCATAAATCGAGTTGGCCCACACAGCAATGAGTCAGGACACCGACCATCTTATCATTCGCCCCAAACAAGATCCATTCCAACCATGGGTCTCTCTTATCAGCGTATAATACGAGAGATTTTTTCGGATCGATTCCTCCATCATAGGCGACAGGTAGCTTCCGCCTAATCGCCCGCAATGCCAGGTATGTGCATAGGAGGTCACGTATCGCCCTATGAAATTTCAGCGAGATAGATGTGGAAGGCCGACAAGAGATGGATAGGCTTACGTGGCGAGATAACGATGAGGAGATGTTCGCTGAAGCAAAAAGTAAGATGTGACCTTTGAAGGCTGGAAGATATCCACTAGAGAGAGCTGTGTGCCAATCTACTCCTTGGTCATTAAAATCTTGCCCCACCGTCAGATGTGAGAGAGGGGTCGATTGTTCTAGTTTGGCCTGTTCCTGTGAGGCCTGGGTTTGCTAGACCCCTATATCACTTGAGACGGGAAGACTTGAGGATTGGCAATTTGCGGCAGGGTCATGGGTAGTAGGAAAGACGATAGATGCATCATTTGTCTCCGGTACGTGCTCACGCCGGAGGGAAGGTTAAAAGTCCCTGGACAAAGCCAGAGTGGTATAAGTGATTACATTTGTGGTACCAGACTTCTGTATCACTATTGTTTCATTGTACGGTCGCCAACGCTGGAGAATATTCAGCCTTATCACTGCTCCTTTGGGGGAATCCCATGAGCAATTAATTCAGTTTCCACAAACATGATCCCCTAAGTGCCCTCCAAAGACGATCGCTCGTCAGGACCTAGGCCGCTGGCTGATTGGCAATCGGTAATCATATCTGTTAACACCTGTCCAGCACCATCCAATTTCATGACGCAAAAATTGAGCCTCAGGCGCCAACTGCACCGTTTCGTCGACGAGTCAGGGAAAATTCGAATGTACAATGAAACTGCGATTAATTTAAGGCTCGAGATCTAGTGTATCACAAGTGTAAGCTCCAATTTTCGCAAGCCATTAGCCTTTTTCTCCGCCGAAATTGTTACGTTGATGCCAGTGCTAAGACGATCACCTTTGCGCCGTGATACATGATTGAAGATAGATCGTGGGTCCCGAGAGAAGATTGGCGGTTGTCGGTGCTCTCAGAACCTGGTATGCCATTCACGCAATATCGAGGGTTACAACCGACCACTTGAAATGATTTTGCTGCTTACTCAGTCTGCATGCTTTCAAATTTTTTGGTTCACAGGCATGAGATAATTGACAGGTCGGCGTGAGCATAGTGGTTATTCTTCACCCAACCCCTGTACGGCAAACGACAAAAACTCTAGACCTTTGTTACTGAACGTCCGAAAGAGCATACTGGTTTATTCGACATGAAGTCATTGCCAGGCAGTTTTAGCTGGTTATAGAAGTTGAAATTAAAATGCTTGTCCTCCCCGTATCGCAAATATTACCGAGGAAAAAGCTAGGTCTTAGACTTAGTTTGATCTACCTTTCCTAGTTCACCTGTGAGAAACTTGCCAAAATTGATACGAATGACAAATCGTCTTAAGTAGCACCAGAGACTAGCAGTACCAGCTTACCTCTGCGAATTTTCGAATCTAGACAGCAGACACCTACATTGTTCTTAGGTTTTTGTAGGGTCGGCAATTCCTGCAAGGGAAAAAACTACTCGGTAAGCTACACAGATTGATCATTTTTTTTCAAATACCAATATTTACCTTGTCAATAACCCATGGTACTTTTCCGGAATTGAGTCTGTCTATTCCATTTTTTAATCTCCAGTTCTGGCAAGGTTAGCGAGCCAGATCTATGCATTGCGTTTCGAGCAAAAACTGAACTTGCATCTAGCTTGGCTATTCAACTCCTATTCCTACATCCATCTCTCGCTTCTACCATCTGGTAAAATTAGGTACAATGTAGAGTTTACGTGTGATTGGCTCTATTTGACGAGAATGAGTAATGGTAGAATTTTATTCCGTTTTAAAAGACGCTTTCAGGGCGAAATCTAACGCTGTTTTAGGCTAGATAATGAAACATTCTAGCCTACCAGCTCTGGATGGGAAATTCTAATTCTTATCACGAATTATTCGAAAGTTCACACTAGAAAGCTGCCTCTGAGATAAGATGGGCAAAGAAAAGCTTTGCTATCTTTTTGAATTTGTGAATACTGACAGTTATGTGTACATAAATGCGTAGAACCTGCATGTTTACCTTTCGGGATCCGTGCCTGTGAACATAAAATTTTATTACATTGCCTATCAGGTCAGCTGCACTACATCATCCGATTAGAATTTTTCGCTTGAGTAAAACAATGGATCTCCTGGTTCAAATTAATCCTATAGCTGTTTCTCATCAGTAGTATGCTTTTTGCCCCTCTCCCTTCCAGCTTTCTGAGGAGGGATGGCTTAAACCCTTTCGTATGATTAGGGACTTTCCTAGTCATAGTTCTTCGCTGTGAGAGAAACCAGGCTATTAGTGAGGTCTTGAAGGCCACAGCGTCCCGTTATCCACGAAAAGATGCACGACTCTTCGATCAAAGTATGCATGTTTTTTGTGTATTTGTGCGATTAACGTTGGTCGTGGCGTATTTGACCCTAAGGTTCAAGGCCCGTGGTCGAGATGATACTGGGGTCGACGAAACCGACTACCTCCGTTTACAAGAGACAGATCTCCGAACCATTACCAGAGAGTGTGGCGGCCATCCCTGGCAGCGAGGTTGGCAGATGAATAACCTAAATCAATGGGTAAACGGTGTTGCACATCGTGTCTGTGAGTTTATCAAATACCACACAACCACCAAGTCGATAATAGTGAAAGATTCGACGACGGTTTCTTCGGAAAACAGGGCACACCGTCCCTCGTCCATTCATTGCATCGACGCACGGAGTGTGCGCTTTAGAAAAAGGTTACCCATATTGCCGATTATTGTAGTCATGTTAGAGAAAGAGACCCAGTGATTCTGATAAGGCGTAGACAGTGCGTAGACCGTCTCCCCGATACTTTCGGAAGGGAAGTTGAAGCTAAATTTTCACTAGACTAGAGGCGAAGTGCTGTCTTTCGTTGACCTTTTTTTTCCGAAGATATTCTATCTTCGACCGCTAAAAGTGCAGACGGATTCGGTAGCCACATAGATTACACCTGAAGATGTAATCATGACGATGTTAATGATGATGCACGTTAAAAAGTCCTCTCTTCGTCACTGCAGTGTCGAAGAAATGTGGTATCGGAATTGTTAGTGATGAACTTAGCAGGGATTAGGGCTAGTGATGCTAAGGCGGGGTCTAGGCAGATCCGTGGCCAGGGCTGGGCTAGCAATTGTTACAGTGTTCAGACGAGCTTACCTATTCCCGTCCGGCTCTCAACCACAGCTAGCAACTTGAAACACGGCTTCCTTGCTAGCTGAGCGATGGCAATTAGTTTTATCCAGGAAGAGTCGCTGTAGCCCCGCGACACAGGGAATCAGCCTACACCCATGCTATCTACCATGCTATCAGTTGTAATAGTCGCCAAATCTTTAGCTGTAGGAGCACTAATGGCGATAGCTGTAGCTAAGCTGTTGGTAACAGGAGTAGTGGTAAATGTGGAATAAATCATCTCCTTGGAGACTGCGGCAGCCCGTACACAACACTTTGAGAGGCAAAGGCAACCGTCGGTACCCTTTGTACCAGTCATCCACATTACTAGAATTAAACTAAATTGATCTGCAGTTCTAGAAATGTGTTGAAGTGGCCTCGTGGAGCTTCAATGCTTCGCTTCCAACTACTTGCTCGCTGCCCCTCCAAACCCCACTCCCTCTGAGGCTGACGCTTTCCCGAACGAACCTGTCCACCTGATGGCAGTCAAGCTAACGGATCTGCTTATCACGCGAATTCATCCTACCTATGCAGATTCTGTCATGTAAATTTAGATACACACACAGAGAACGGTTATCCTCTAATCCAGTAAACCCAATCAATGTCCCTATTATGCCCTAGTCTGACTAAGAGCTTCAAGCTTTCAGGATGAAGTTGGTTAACCCATCCATTTACATTCTTACCAGTATTACCCCAACAACGCCGCGGCGCTTTCTACCTCTCCAATGAGGCGACAATCTAGCCACTAGACCTTGCGAATCCCCAAAGACGACCTATCAGTCGGCTCTTTGGACTAGAGCTTCTAAGACGTCGTGGCTCCACCTCTTGTTTGAAGATTCAACTCTTGTTTTGGTGTGTATTTGTTTCTAATAAGGTCAATGCATTGTCTTAAGGTTGATTCGTCACATCACAGCCCTTTCTTCACCTTTCGCACAAGGCCCGAGGTCCACTGTCATAGCCACGCACCTTGTAATTACCCCGGCTTATGATTTCAGGTTGGAACTGTCAAGTTGTTCAGCTACCTGAAACAGCGTCTCTTGTTCGTTCGCAGACACCATATCTTTCCGACCTCAGCCCACTAATTTAATCACAATTCAGGAGATCAGCGACCTTCTAGATATTCTTTACACATCAACGCGGGTTTCCACGCAAGTATCGAGAACTATACGTGGGTGTCTTACAGCAGACAATACTAGATAAAGAAGTAGATTTGTCATCATTATCATCATCATGATGGACCTCACTTCAATGCTAAATGGAAATCCAACGACGGATGAGAGTTATAAAGGAACAGATCGGCAAGAACTAAATGGCCAAATACAATCAAAAAATAAAACACCTTGGGATAATGGTGGATATGCGCTACCAATCAACACAATTTCAACATTACCTACTACACCCCAACACACAAGTAAACTTAACGAAACTTATTTTTCCACGCCAACCTCACCGCCACAAAATTCATCAGGCAGTCGAAGTAGTATTTCTTCCATCTCGTCAGTAGATTCGTCAGCTCATTCACGCTACCCCTCTATGTCAGTGGTCGAGGCTTGCTCTCAATCTCCTAGCGGCCAGGTCGAGAATGTATATGATAGCCCATCTCCGAAATCAGCTGCATCAAGCTCTGATAAAAAGATGGGTTGGACTTCGAATCAGGTGCAATATCAAGATCGAAGTCTCTCACCATCTAGCTCTACAATGCCTGAACAGAATAGTATGAACAACTTACAGAGGCTACCTGAGCCGTCACGAATCTCAACGCGACCATTCATGATTCCGATCATGGAGAAAGAAGCCTCATTAACATCGGACATACATGAAAGCAGAAGACCCATCTCACCTTCAGATGCAGTACTTATTAAGCGACCAACTATCCCGAGTCTTAGACTAGTTACTCGTGACTCAAAATGGACCTTGACGAATCCCAATATAACGTGAGTACTTCTTTAGTATCCAAACTTGCACAGATAGCCCCAAAATCTTTGCTTCATACGCCCCATATTGTCATTAGTCTCTTGATTCGAGGGTATGAAGACTTTGATTCACGGAGCTGTAACTTAGGATACTCTTGTTGCGCCGGTTTCTGATAAGAAGGCAAGAATAATTCTCACTAGCACTAAAGATCGAGTTATCTCAAGTGTTACAAGAGATATAGAAATTGCTCTTCATTTTTGGCTTTGATCTCGCATTTTTATTTTCCATTTGTCTCCTCGAGCATACTTTACACTTCAAATACTTTTTTTTTGAAAGAACTTTCCAAATTCAAAATTTCCCCTTTTATGTTTTTTTTATCAACTAAATCTCAAGACTTTCAAGCAGCTGCATATCTCTTTGCTTCAAAAGTAATATTACTAACCGAGATCGAATTTACAGAAATAAAGCCTATCAGAATACACCTGAACAAGCACAACTTTATCCACTTACTCAGAGTAAGAGTCATAAACGTGCACTTTCAGCACCTAGTTTTAAACAACCATATCATCAGTTGGTTATGCCAACTCATCCTTCTACAATTTCAAGGGATGAGCCAACCCCTCCAAGCTCTCATCATCCAGATGACTCATCGCCGACTATGGTAACAAATGTCTATCAGGCTCCGGCAACTCCACCATCATTCCCGCTAGACACGGAAGCTCAATCTGTCAAGTGCATGTATATTCCTCATTGCGATACTGGCTCACAGTTACGGAAAGCTATATCTCACATATTTGGTCGCAATAAGATCTGCACACGACAGATTCCTAGTCATGTCTGGGTTCACTACTGCCGTAAGCATTATCAGAGATCACGCTACCGAAACCCAAAGGAATATGCAAAGCTTCAGTGCGATTTGGTTCAGCAGCAGATTCGAAGGGTGCATGAGTGGAGTCAAATAAACGAATCATTGAATAAAGCTGGCGTAGTCCGAGACTGGAGTATGTCGGTACGAAAGCGAGAACAAAAGCGACTCGACGATCTCCAAAGCGGCAAAAAGCGTAAGAGTATTCCGTCAGAGGAAGAGGAGGATGGGGACGAAGATAGTAATGTGGCAGGTGGAAAACCCTCTAACTCTGCAATTCCAGCAACTGCTGTTCCTAAATGGCTCCTTGAGCACTGTAGAAAAGGTTACAGTACGCAAGAAATTCTAGGGATATTCAACAGGCTCCACCAAGAGATTTTGGACGACACTATATCCACTTTTCCAGACATTGAGATCCTACCAAACATCTCTATTGACCATGACGAGCAGTGGTCTCCAAAGACCAGTGTAAAGCGTCTTCAAAACTCTCACCACAAGAGGCCTAAGTCATTAAGTACCGATGCGGCCCCTATTTATGTGCATGAAGATCGCCGGATAAGTCATTGCCACTCATACGTTCTAGACCCTTATAGTCCCGATGGCACAATTCTCAAGCGGCAATTGACGGGCGTGTCAGACGGCAATGCCACAGAACCAGCCTTCCAGCATTCAGCTCGGTCTCGAATTCCCGAACTAGGTCGACGTGTTTCTGCCTTGGGCTTACATCCTAGGATCGATGAAAATTCAACAGTCGAGAGTTACTACAACTTTTCTCCATCCAAGCCATTATCAATCATGTCTTCATCACCACGATGCACAGGTCAGCCACTTAGTACACAGATAGATTCAAGTCCTTTGTATCACACTTCAGCCCATCGGCCTCTTCACCAACGCTCTCATTCTGATATGAGTGGGGGATTCCATCACGGGCAGCATATTTTCCACTCCCAAGATGTGTCAATGTACCCCCCAATATATATTGACACAAAGTATCCATCTAGAGACCAAAATTATGAGCCTAGCCTACTATCTACGGCTCCAGTGGGAGAAGTTACGAGAGACAACCTTGCGCTTAGAGATGCGCTAATGCCACGATCGGTATCACTTTATCCCCACGATCCATTTTTACGTCCTCATAATTCCACAAGTTTTGCACCGCTTCCTTGAAGTTGAATTCAACACCCTGAACTGGATAAAAAAGTAAATTCACGCATAAAATGTCTACTTACCTAATGATTCATGTTGGCAGTGAAAGCAAGATAGTATTTTTGCTTAACTCCAACTCATTTTATACTCACTTGACTTGGGCTGGCGTTGAGGTAAATTTACAAATGTCTACCTAAGGCAAACATTTCCTTTATACAATGAAAATTTTTGTATTCAAAGTGGATAATCATAACTGGAGGCATAAGGCGAGTAATCGAGGGTACGAGTATAAATAAATAGCTGGATACTTTTATACTCTGAGCTGGGATGGCGTTAGAGTATTTGCTTGATATTAAGTATTGTATATATTCCCGCGGCTGAGTTGTAACGATGGTAATTAAACTGATGTCAAGGAGTTATCGGAGAGCGATTTGATGAATTCTAGAGTAAGCATGAAATAGCATAATTTGAGCATTCTATTCTTCATATTTCGTAATTCTATGCAGATCTACGTGTCATCTTTCCTGATCCTCTGTGTAATGAGTCACCGTGAAGGCGAGAAGTTGAGAGCTGATGATGCGTCCGTCGTTGCATCCATCAGAATATCGAAAATAGGTTAGAGTGGGTTGTGAGCAGAAGTAGAGCGTGTAGAATCATGGATCTCTATTTCTACGGTTCGGCCAGTAGCCCAAGTTTGAAGTGGCGGTATGAGAGTTGCCCATCAGCACGCCTGATTGTAGAGATGACATTTTTTGGCCAGGGCGGAGAGCGAGGCACGACAGGGATGGCTCAGGCGGTAGGGGCAAGCCTTGTGAGCTGATAGCAAGGATTCGCTAGGGATTGGCTACCCCAGCTCATCTCTCAAGCTGTTAAGCGGAAGAGAAGACGTGGGGCCCCTGCTCCCTTTCGGGACAGGAACTTGATCGAGTGTGGAGTCTCACAATTACTCGTTTAGGGTCGGGTCAGGAGGCGGGGGATGATGGATCTTATCGCAGGCCAGACCTGCGAGTCCAGACGATAGCTACTGCGACGCTCAGCAAGCGGGGTGACCCCACGATCGGCCCGAGAGCGATAAGCTCTCACGACCGATGGCTCTGACTGTACGTTGGTGGAGTCAAGATTTCCTTGGGGCTATCGAGACGTATCTCGGATATCCCGCATCAACATGCCTGTCGTCCCAGCTGGGCTCACTAATCGCTCGGATCGGCGGAGCGAAGGCATGACCCTGGATGGTCAATAGGTATTAGACCCCAGGTGTTCGCATGCGTCTTCCAGTGCCCTTCTAGCCTGTGCCTCGTGCCCCTCGGAGATGGCAAGGTCTGCACCGACGAGACCAAGCTGTAAGCCACCGTGGCTGTTGTCAGGTCCATGGCGAGAATTCTCTATGCGCCATGGCCGCCCTGCACCTGCTCGAGACGCCCGTGACCTCTAAGGTGACAGCCCGACCCCTAGGCGCGGAAGCGGGGTCTTCTCCGCGTACCGAGAATGGATGGCCGGCAGACGGGCCTTGATGACTCGGACTAGAGATAGAAGAAGTAGGACCCACACAAGACAGTCGAAGAAGGGCACGGGACAGTGACGGGGTCTCATCTTCTACCCCGTCACCCGTGGTGGCCAGTTCCGCTGGTTTCAGAGATCCTGGCCATCGCGGCGCCGATATATTTGACCACAAAATAACTGCGCTGCCTATGCTTGCCCTGCTGACCGTGCCCACGGCGCGCCGGGTCTCGAGGAAGATGTCTCGAATCTGTCAGGTTAAGGCCTAATGCGATGCTGCCCGCCAACCGCCAACCGCCAACCGGCAACAGAACTACGAATCCCTGAAGACATGCAGGGCAGAGGCGTGATCCATGGCCTACTCGCTCACCTCCGAGATGTCAGAGTTGCGGTTTACAGGCGGAAATCCTCCATTGGTCTTCGTTGAAGCTCATCTCCTCATCCCTCAACCACAAGCGAAGATGCCCCAACGAACTTTGTAGTTGCAGGTCCTTCCGCTGTCCAAGCCCCTGATTGAGTATCGCGCCAGGTGCTATGATTCAGGGTCTGGTCGGATGGTCTAGCGGTAAGCACTTCGGGTTGGCCGTCAGAGCTGAGGCCGTAGCCATAACACCCATGCCACTTAATTCAAAGTACTCCTTGTATTAGACGCAGTAGGTTCATCTGGGTTGGAAAGATCGCGCATTGAAATGGGCGCAATATTTATAGAACGAAAGTAGGAGTTGACTAAAAGAGTGTAATGTTTGGATTACAGCTAAAATTTTGCGAAGTGTGCGCCACAAGTATTATTTATTTGATTTGTATTTATTATCCTGATTTGGCGCCGTATGGGCCCTTGCAGGTGGCTACATATATATCTTTGATTTTACATAGGAGGAAACTTCTCGGTGAAAACACCCCAGTTTTCTGATTTAATTCTTAGATTTTGCAATTTATCCTTCAGGAAAAATAGTTACATTGTAATACCGTCGATGTATACCAATCACGTCCCTTCTATAGACCCCAACCTTGTACATGTTCCGTCTCGTTCCCTGAGCTGCATTTCAACTGCATTTGTCATGCGGGATGGTTCTATCCAACCATGATTAAGAATCCATTGTGTGATTCTTTTCATATCGTCAGGATTGTTGGTCATCGCTTCAAAGGATCGATTTCGGGCTTGTCTGCAGATTTCTCCTCTACCAATTGACCACTTAGGGCAGGACATGATCATGTGTTTGGGATTTTGTGATTGGTAGCCACACGGACAACTTTGGTGATAAACTCCTGGTACTTTTCTTCTGTGTAAATAAGAATTGAGCCCGATATGCTCGCTTCGAATTTGGATTGCTAAGCTACTTTGGGCCCTCGTCAGGTTTTTGTGGAGAGAAAATGGTGACTTCCTAAAGCTTATTTTACTACGTCCAGAATGGCGGTATTGGTAGAACTTTGCTGCTGCCCAAGTTTTAGAGTATTATTTATCTATTTATCCATTTATGTCCTATTTGACTTTCCAACTATGTAGGACAGACTATTTAAATACAACTTTTCTTTTTCATTCTAATTGGAGGTTTCCTTGATTTGATGGTGGGATCCCCATCACTGGTTCACCAGGGAGTGCGCTACAAGTACAAGTGTAGGAGGGCAAAACTGAATACCTGTACGCGGTGTCCTCTACGAACCTGAGAGTCAAGTGGTGTTCTCTAGTATGGTATGAGTAGCCTGGGCACCTACTCCACTTGGGAAGGAGTAATCTCAGATCACATATCGCGCGGAGAAAATTTAATGGATGACGGAGACATGTCTAGATAACTCAGGGTTTTTGAGACGTTCCCCTAGGTGGTATTGTTGTGCTCAGCTAAGGTAGTCCCGGCGGGTTGCGCATGGATGATGAGTGTGTCAAGATGCCTTGGGCATGGACAACTCACATGAGATTTTTGGCACATTTGCTGAGGCAAGGCATACTGAATGAGTAAGCATAGTAGGCATATGATTGGCAGGTAAACGAGTTGATGGGGTATATAATGAGAGGTTTTCCCGCTCTACAAGAAATTTATCACATCCACAGAGTCACCTAGGCAAGGCACAGGGCGTTTTTTGTCAAGGCAATTTCCGTTTTTTTCTTTTCCTGTAATCAATCGGCCTAGAAAGCTGGACAGATAGGTAGTAGTGAATCTTTAGGGATCACACACCCGTATCACGCCTCTTGGGTGTAGGGCTTTTGCCTGATATAAAATTCATACATACATGATAGAGTCACTTACAATTCACTCTCAATCAGATCATATCTCAGCCGTCAAAAGCAAATGTACGTTCCCCATTTCATATATCAAGTAAAACAAGTATTCACGGATGAGAGTTGATTTGGGGTGAAGAAAAGCCACCGTAACTTCGCAGTGGTACTTGCAAATGAAATCCGAGACATGAGTGCTCTTCTTGTAAATTGACTCATCTTTTCTGCACTTTTCTTTGATATTGTGTCATAGCTAGATAGCTACATACGCAATTAAAATCTGATGTAAAAAAAAAGACAAGTGTGGATTTCTCCCATGATGTATAAATAAGTCCAATGTTCCCACAGTTGCAAAGTATTAAGTTTTCTTCAATTCATCAGTATACATCCATATAATATTGTATGGAGTATATTTTCCGACACGTAAGCAAAAGTCCCTCATGGTATTTTCTAATGAGATTAAGAATATGGATGTCTCTGACGTAAAGAGTCATCCAACGTATAAACAACATACCGATCATGTGCCATAGCTCCAAAGCTGAATACGCATTATATGAATTAATAAAAATATATGGAGAAAAAAATAGAAATATTTTAAAAAAATGTACCCCGTTCATTTTTAGCCCGTGAATTCCTAGCCTTGTAATTTCTAAGATGAAGAGCAATGTTGAGGACCCTCGTAGTAGAAAGTCCCGAACTGACTACAGCGATGGAAAGAACGCGTCGAAGAAACCGATACAGCCCTGTTAAAGTTCAAGAAAGCAATGTGGGGCGATGAGCTTCCAAGCAGAGCTTACAAGAAGATGATATCGGAGGCCATTCTTATCATTGAAGGCCTTCGTAACGCGAACATTCACCCAGCCTAAAAGGCTAGCGATGAAAACACAGAGATAGCTTACATCTTACAGGAAATTAAATCATCTAAAGTGTCAATCGCTGAGCCCCGAGGCCCTGCACAAAGACAAGAACAATCGTAGGCTAAGATAGCCAGCAAGCCTCGAGTCGCAGGTAGTACAATAAGAATACAAGATGCGAATGAGAGGAGAGAAGTCGCCAAAATCTCTTGCGAAGGGCTAGTGATGAAAATCGGCATCAGCAAAATCGTCAAAGCTAGGTACATTTCTAATGGCCAAGTCAAAGTTTAATGTTCTGGTCATGAAGCTAAAGAAATGATGGAGAAGAGAAAGGAACGGAAGACAAAGCTGGCAGTTATTGCACACACTGCCCATCCTATATTCCAATCCCTAATTCACGACATGCTTCGATCATTTGATCCAGGAAACGCGGATCATTTAAGAAAAATTGAAAAGCA